CCGGGCCCCGGGCCCCCCCCCCGCCGGCGCGGCGCCAGCCGTGGGGGTTGGCTCTGCTGGGCCCAGCCCTTCTCAGCGCGACGCTGGTGGGGACCCAGCCAGGCGGCCCTGGCCCTGGAGCCTGTCTGCATGAAACTCTGCTAACGTGAGGTGCGGGGGCTTGACGGCCACCATCTGTCTCCTTGCCGCATAAAGCCCCCCACAACCGGGACAAGCTCCTGAGTGTGAACGCGGCCTCGTTAAGTAAGAAGGAAGTGCCCAGAGTCTCGGGTTGGGGGCACAGGGTGAGCAGCAGCTTCCCCGGACCGTTCCCACCGGGGTCCCAGGACGGGCACTGAAGGCCCGCACAGAGCAGGTCAGGGGGCAGCGCCTGGCTCAGCGGCCTCCAGGCCCAGAGCATTCGCACCACCTAGCTCGCTCTCGAGATACGGTTTTGGGGACATAAAAGCTCTCCCCTCTTTCCCCTCAATGCTCTCAACCCTCTGAAGCGCATCTCAGGTGGATGGGAACCCCAGGCAGGAAGTGCTCCTGCAGCCTCCCCGTGCTGGGGCTGCCTGGGGGCCTGGGCCACGATGCGCTCTCTGGAGGGACCATGAATACTGACGTAGGCAGGGGGACCACCGAGAGAGGGCCAGAGGGCTGGGTGTGCAGGGATTACCCGGACAGGGAGCCACTGCCCATGCGCCGTGAGGTCGAGGGTTGGCCTCTGCCATCAGCCGGCAGAGCGGGGTGGAGGAAGGCGCGTGCTCTGTCCCACCCCGATATGCTTGGCCTCCAGGGGGTGCTGAGCAGCGGCAGCGGCATGGAGGCTGTGCACAGGGACCTCAGCTTTGGTCCCTTGTGGGCGGGCACAGGGCCTCCAGGCGCAGTGGCACCTGTCCCGTCGTGTGAGCTACACCCTTGTTCGGCTCCGACAATGGCCTGTCTCACCACTGAGGACACTGGCCAGGGCGCTGAGGTATTGGAACCCAAGCTGGCTGGCGTCAGGTGTCCGGACGGAGCGCAGCCCGCAGCGGGCAGGAGCGGGTGCACGCACCGGTCACCGTCCCGCAGCATCTTCATCTGTCTCCCGATGATGCACGCGAACAGGGGACCCGTGCGGGCTCCGGGCAGGAAGCTCTCGACTAAGCCCCCCAGCCAGACGTCGATGTTGTCGGGGTGCCCGTACAGGCCCAGGACCCTGTGGGCCACGCTCCCGTTGGCAATGGCTGCAGCCAGGTCGGCCAGGGGCTCCAGGCGGGGCAGGCCGCAGAACTGCCGCCATTCGTTGTAACCTAGAGGGAGAGGGCCTCACCTGGTCTGCTGGACGCCGTGTCCTCTGAATGCAGGCGCCGTGGTGCAGAGTCCCGCCCACGGCGTCCAGTGACAGGGACACCACCCCGTCCCCTGCCCCGCTACAGCTCAGCTGATGGGCAGCCCAGGGCCCGTCTGCGCAGTTTCCACCCTCCAAGGAAGGCCAGCCTGACCCGTGCAGCTGGACCAGCCAGAACATGCGGAGGTCAGCAGTGGGCGGCAGACACGTCTTACTGCCAGGCGGCCTCTCATAGCATGGGGTGCCACACGCCTTCTACAGACGCCCACAGACCTGGCAGGCCATGGTCGCGGCCCCTCTGCAGGTTCAGCGAGGCCAGGTCCAGGGTGTCTGGACTCGACAGCACCGAGAGCCTCTCTGTCAGCTCCTCGCTCATCAGCTGGCTGTGCGCCTGCAGCCTGGCGCCTCTCGCGAGCAGGCCTCTCAGCAGTGGGTCCACGCCGCCTGGAAGAGAAGGCGCACAGCCCCACAGGTCGGCCACGTGCTGCAGAAAGGACTCCCCGCCCAGTGCAAGCTTGCGGTGGAGTGCTCGGGTCCACCTCCCGGAGCCCAGAGCTCTGTGAGTGCCCAGACACCACTCTTGGGACCACTGTGGGGCTGCCTAGCCCTGTGCACAAGGGACACCCCTTCAGAGCCGAGGGCGGCTGAGCAAGGCACCATCAGCTTCGAAGTTTCTCGAGCTTTTTGGCAAGTGCTAGCGTCTAGGACAGCAGAGGGGGACGTGGCCGAAGGAAGGGTCGGGGCCTGGGGACCCGCTCTGGGCTCCTGAAAGCTGGGTCATCCTCTCACGGTATCTAGCTGCCTTCACCCCGGGGCTGTGAACCCACTTTCATCTGGGGTCACTATGGCCTCGTGGTGTCCCGAAGCACAGCTCAGATCCCCCTGCTCCTGCTTCGCCAGGGCCAGATGGTGGGGCAAGGCCTCCGTCCCCTTCCCACCTTCCCTGAAGACCCTCCAGGGGCTGAAGAAGGCGTCGTGCAGCCACAGTGGGGGCAGCCCGGGGGGCTCCTTGAAGTGGGCATCGAGCCGCAGCACCAGCGGGTGGATCGTGGCGTGGCCGAAGCGGAAAGCAGCCGTGGAGAACACGTTGGACACCGTGGGGTCTGTGGTGGCGTCATAGCCCCTGTAAGGGCCCACGTGGTGCTCGAAGGCCTCGGGGCCCAGGATCTTGGGGACATAGTCCCGCAAGGTGATGACCTGGGGAGAGGGGCAGAGGGGCACCCACACCACAGTGAGCACTGGGGGCAGGGGCATAGCATCCTTGAACATCCCTGGGCTCGTGGTCACCCAGGGCTGGGGCAGTGCCACCCAGGGCTGGGGCGGCGGGTACCAACCACCTGAGCCAGTTCTGAGCACTATGGGAGGCTACAGCGTCAGAGGGATCCCCAAGACCTCCAGGGCAGGCCTGGGACAGTAGGCACCCCGGCACCACGCAGGGCTCACTGAGTACGGCCTGCAGACCAGCCAGGGGCCCCGCAGTCGCCTCCCTCAGAAGTGTGAGCCCGTCCCATGGCAGAGCACCAGCCCCTTCCCGGGCACCACCCAGCCAGGACGGGCTCCCCAAGGGGTCCCGGCTCTGGAGGCTTAGGCGAGACAGTGGACCCCTACCCCCGCCAGCCGTGCGACTCGGGGATGCCGACTGAGTGCTCGGGACTGGCCTCAGTACCAGAAGCCCTTCAGTCAAAGGGTTCCGGGAGGTAAGAAGTTCTGAGCTCTATACCCACAGGAGGTCTCCGGGTCAGAGGCTGGGAGCGGGGGGGATGGGAGAGGGAGGAGAGCAGAGGGGGCTCTGGGGACACAGAAGAGGTCTGCTGACGACACGTGTGTGACTTCAGCCGGGCAGGCGTGCAGCGATCACCCTGGGAAAGCCCGCTTACAAGCTTTGTTGATGTACAGTGATTAAACATGCAAAATAGAGTTAAAAAATAAAAGAACTAGAGCACAGGAAAACCTAGCGAACTTTCATGGAAAGCGTATATTTCGAAAAGCCACCCCTGGGCTGCGGAAGCCCCCACACTAGAGGGCGTTCAGTCCCGGGTTCCGTGGTAAGTGACCGCGTCTCGCCTACGCACACCCGTGGGCACGCCTGCTCCTGCCGGCCACTCCCAGTGTAAAGGCAGATGCCCGGAAGCATGAATGTGGCCGCGACGACCAAAGACCAAGGACGGGTGCGTCTGAGACCTGGCTACCCTCCCTGGGGGCCACAGCTGCCATCCGCCGGCGCCTGCGGCCATGCCGCTGGAGCAGGCCACTGGAGCACAGGGGCGTCCTCCCGACCACGCCGCAGACCATGGATTGTGAACCCCTGCTTTGTCCTGTCCTGCGACTCGCTGGACTAAGATGAGTACGGTTGCAGGCCATCAGGCGGAAGGTTCCCGGGGTGACCGGGCAATGGCCTGAGGGACAAGGACGTGACCGGAACCAGCCGGACCCGGAACAGACCTCTCACCCCGAAGTGAAGGCCTTGGACAGGCCTTCCCAGAGAGGAGACTTAGTGGGTGTTCCAGAGGGGCGATGACAAGGCTGCAGGTTGTCCCAGGGTCACCGCGCGGGGCCCAAGGTGATACCAGGACTGGGCTGGGCTGCGGCAGACTCGTCCTCTGTGCACAAGGACAGCGTGGCCAGTCCACCGGGCACCAGCGCCTGGCCCGGGCATTTACAGGAGATGGCAGGGCCCTGACACTGCCGTGTGACACAGGCTCTCCTGAGAGCCACCTACAGAGCTCTGCTTTCAGGCCTGAAAAGGCAGCATCAGGGACCAGCAGAGGTGTAACGGTTACGTCGCCGGACTCCCACATAGTCGACCACGGTTCAAGTCTCTGGACCTAGGGATGAAAACTCATGCTGGGCGTGTGTGCGCGTGCATGCCCAAGATCCTGAGAGAATGGAGAAGGGACTGCGGTCTGGCCATCCCTCTGGGAGGGGACTTCTCACTTTCTGTTCCCTGTCTCTGTCTGGTGAGCGCACACAGTCTATAGCAAAAATCTCTCTAAAAAATAGAAAAAAGCAAAGGCGAGGCCAAACCTGCCCAGGCCAGTAATCTGCACGCCAGGGGCAGAAGCCGGAGGCGACTACTCGAGGTTTCCAGCTCGTCACTGAGGGAGGCAGCAGACTGCTGAGAAGACACCAATAGCGTTCACTGCTTTAACACTTTCCATCCTGGTGAAAAATGCCCTTCCTGTGCACATAACCAGATGCTCCGAGGGAGGCCAGTGGGGTGAGGAGTTTTTGTTGCCCGGCAGGTTTTCCAAGCCGCCAGGGCCAGGGTTTGAATGCAGCCAGACGCGTGGGATCCAGCACCCCACTGCTGAGCTACATGGGGCTGGCCCACTGGCCCCACTTTAGTTTTGATAACCCTGTGTGGAGCAAGGACACAGTGTGCTTGGACGGGTCGGACGTCCCTAATCCCAAATCCCTAATCTCAAATCCTAGATGCTCCAAAGCCTGGAGCGCTGCGCTGGCCTGACGCCGCAAGTGGGAAATCCCCCGGCCTCATGTGAGGTCACAGCGAGAACACTGCAGCACCGAGTGTGGCCTGCCTCGGCTCTGCGTGGAAGCTGTCCAGGAGACGGAGGTGAGACCCATGCACACACCTGGGCTCCTCCCTAGGGTATCTCCTTACGTATACGCAAACACCCCCAAATCCAAAAGCTCCGAGGCCCTTCCCTTGCTGGGGATTCTCAACCCGAACTGAACTCCTGTGTGTGACTGAGGAAGCCTCAGCTGTAGGCTCCGTTACCGATCCCCCCTTTCTTTCTAACCCAGCAACACGGACACATGCACACACACACACACGCACACATGCCTGCCCACCCACAGCTCACACGTCTCTACGCAGGTGCGAAGCACTGGAAGCGTCTGCAGTCGGCGAAGAAGTATAACGGCCTGCACTGGCCTCCGGGGTGCTCACGTTCCCCCAGCCCATGACACAGGTCCACGTAGGACAGCGGTGCCCAGGTCTGACAGGGGTGTTGACAGGACAGCACCAGGAGCAGCCGAGAGGGAGGCTCTGTGCAGGTGCGGGCCCCACCTTCCACTCTCGCCCTGTGCGTTCCCGCCCCCAGCTTCCTCCCTCGTAAACCAGGGAGACCTAGGAGTTAACACCAGGCCCCCATGCCAAGGGTCCATGCCAAGGGCCCACACCCAGGGTGCACACCAGGGGTTCACACCCAGGGGTCCACGCCAGGGGTCCACACCCAGAGTCCATGCCCGGGGTCCATGCCAGGTGCCCATACCAGGACCCCACACCAGGGGCCACACCATAGGCCACACCAGGCACCCACACCAGGAGTCCATGCCACGGTCCACATGATGACTCCACACCAGGGACCACACCGGGGGCCACACCAGGGGTCCACATCAGGGGCCACACCAAGAGTCCACATGAGGCCCCTACACCAGGGGTCCACGCCAGGAGTCCACACCAGGTGCCACACCAGGGGTCACCAGGGGGCTACACCAGGGGCCACAGCAGGGGCCACACCAGGCGTCCCCTGTGGGTTGGGGTCTGCACAGCAGGCACGCACTGGCCAGTGGCTGTCTATAAGTGGAAGCTGAACTTGCTGGAGACTCTCTGACTATAAAAACTGCACAATTGAGGGAGGACAGATAACCGGTTGCCTCGTCAAATTCGGAAGCGCCCAGGAGGCTGTTTTCCTCTTCATTTTCTCCATTGTTCCAGAATACAAGCCACCGAAATGGCCATCCCTGCTCCGAGTGTTGCCAGGAGCATCCCTGAGGGGCACACCGAGCAAGCGCAGGCGGCTCAGGGGCAGGAAGCACAGACCGCGGGGGGTGTTGGCATCTCGGTCCCAAAGGCTTTGTACCGTGGCCCCTGCCCTAGGGCGCGTGTGTGCTCACGCAGATCCTAGGTGGTCCAGCAGCCGGCTCGCCCCAGCCCCAGCGCGGGGCGCCTGGGGTTCCACGCCCACTGGAGCAGGGTGCCTGGAAGGATCCTTCAGGGCCCGGGGAGGCCCCACCGCACCCATTCGGGGCTCCAGGAATCCCCTCCCCCTGGGAACCCACAGAGCCCGCGACCGCACACCTGGTGCAGGGCGCCCACGATCTTCCGTGCCTCCTGGTAGGCCACGTCTGCACTCCAGTGTGCATTCAGGGCCTTGAGCGCGGTGGCCAGGCGGTTGTGCTCGCGCAGCCAGAGCGTGTGCACCGCCGTCAGAGAGGGGACTTCGCTGGCACGGCTGTCCCCAGCCAGGAAGCAGGGTGCGCGGGCAGCCGTGCGGGTGCCAGGCTCGGGTGCACAGGCCCACGGCGGTGGTGCGAAGGGCAGGAGGGCGCGGCCGGAGTCACGGTGGTGCATGTTGACACGGAGCAGCCCCTGGGCGCTGGTCCAGTTCCGCAGCTGCCTCTCCCAGGCCGGGGAGCTGCTGTACACGGTGGATGCGTCCAGAAAGGAGGTCAGCCTGTTTATCTGCTGTCGTGGGCGTGCCTGGGACAGGTTGCCGAGGACCGCGCCCGGGGCCCCGCTGCTGCAGGCGCAGGTGGCAAGGGAGCGGTAGAAGGGCAGACACGCCCTGCTGGAGCCCGTGGGGGCATTTGCGGGGAGCTGCCGGGCAGAAGACGTCCTATTTAAGGGCACTGGCAGCTCTGGTGAGGACTGTCCCGCGCCCCAGGCTCCTCTCCAGGGCAGCGCTCAGTCCCGCCAGCCCTCCTGCCCTGCCCTCTCCCAGCTCCCTGCCTGCAGAGGCCAGGCAGAGGCGGGTCCCAGCCCAGGGGCCAGCACCTGCTTTCCAAACCTGGGGGTCTCAGCGGAATGGCCCCTCCAAGCTGCTGGCAGGTTCCTGCATCTCTGGCTCAGTGTCCCTTGGGGGTCTGCCCCCTATCTTCCCCTGTGAGGGAGTCTCCCTTAGGAACACAGTGAGCAGAGCCCACCACTAGTCCAGCCCCAGGAAGGACTCTCTAGGAAAAGGAGACCTGGGACCCTCTCCACTCTGCCCTTCTTCAGCCTCCTTCGGTGGAAGTCCACGATCTGCCACCTTTCATGGGATTCTTGTGAAGAGCGGCCAGCCAGGCTGCAGGGCTCCCTGAGCTGTGTAGGGCCCATGCCCGTCAGCATCCCCCCATGCACGTGCAGGATGGAGCTCTGCTCGGAGGCTCCCGCAGCCGGGAGGCGCAGCCAGCTCCGGGCCCCACTCGCTCCGGGACCACCTCTG